GGCTCTGGGGTTGAACTGGTTACATGTCTCACATGTTGCAACAAAGTACTTGGTGATATCCCTCAAATGTGGATGCCACCAGTTTTGAGAGATCAGGCAATTCATCTTGGAGCTTGCACAGTGTCCTCTGCTGTGTGCCTCTTGACACAGCAAACTCAGTAGTCCTGCTGGGGCTACTATTCTACCTTCGTGGTTTCTCCACGGTCCTGTCTGACCCTTAGATGCTCCTCCTGCTTTTCAGTAAGAGCAGCTTTGTTCTGTATTTCCCTTATAGTCTGCAAGCTCAACTCTGTCTCACAGACATGACCCCCTTCTGCAGGGTCTTGACTCATCTGTTTAGCTCCTTGAGCTGGACCTTCTGGGTCCTGAATGCCTGTCCTAGGCTTCTTAAACTCTGACCCCTTAGGTCTTGGATCTCTTTCATAGCTCCTTGAGCTACCTGATAACCAGCTGCTACCTTGGCAGCCAGATCTGCTGCATTATTACCTCTGTTTAGCTGAGTCTCTGTTTTCTGATGTCCCTTGCACTTGATAATTGCCACCTGCTTTGGTAGCAACAACGCTTGATCTACTTCCAGTAACTGCTGCAAGTGTTTTACCCGATAGCCAGGTGAAGTCACAAAACCTTTTCTTCTCCAGTGGCACAAGTCTACATGTATTGCCTGTATCGCATATGCAGAATCTGTGTAGATATTTACAACTTTGTCTTTTGACAACTGACGCCTTTATCAGAGCAATCAGCTCAGCCATCTGGGCTGAACTTGGCTGTGGAATCACATCAACTTGCAGGCCTCTTAAGCCATTCCATTGTGTCCTCAACCACAGCGTATGAAGCAACTAGACTGCCAGTGGCAGTCTGATGACTGTGACCATCACAGTACAATGTTACCTGGGTAGCAGTTCCTTATGCAGGTTCTCATGCAGTCTCATCTCTGTCTGTTTTGCTCATGCAATCACGATCCTGCTCAGTGACCATCTGTGTAGCCATATTTTTTCCCTCACTTGTAAACTGTACATGAGCCTGGTTCAATAACTGTTGTAAGTTTTGTGTCTGAATGCAGACAATGTGAAAGCTTTGGAATCCAGAAAAGCCCCGACACCATGTGTAGTGTGTACAACAGTTTGATAACCCATTGTGATATGAGAGGTTTTCAGTATCGCTCGACTGATCGCAGCAACATGTCTCACACAAGTTGGATGTCCCTTCTCAACATTGTCCAACTTAGAACTGTAGTACATCAACACCTTTCAGGTGTGTCCTCTACTTTCTCCCCCTTTTGAAATAGGA